TAACCTTTCTAGAGGCAGAGCAGGAGATGCTGGGATTTGGCGTATTGTCCTCGGTAAGCACAACCTGAACCGCACTGAATGGACAGAGAAGATCTACCGCGTGAGAAGAATCTACAGACATGAACGCTATCACTACTCACTCCTCAATGAAATTTACAATGATATTGCTTTGGTCAGAGCAGCAGTGGACATTCCACAGAACAATTATGTCCGATATGCCTGCATACCTGAGACTGCCAGCCAACTGCGTCCTGGGCATTTATGCTGGGCCACAGGCTGGGGTGCTACCAGAGGTAAGGGAACAACTTAAGAAAGCAGGATTAAATGGAAGTTAGTGATGTAACACCCTTTATTACCCTTGAACATCGGTTCAAATCCAATCCATGGAGGTGTTCTGGTTTCCAAAAGGAAATTAGATTGTTAAAGACATTTAGATAAGTACTTGAATAGGAAATGTTTAAAGGGATATGGGCCAAGCACAGGCAGGTGGGATTAGTTTAGTTTAATTTAAGGTTATGGCTACAAGGACTAGTTGGACCAAAGGGTCTGTTTCCATGCTCTGAGACTATGTGACTCTATTATCAGAGGAGAAGAAAGAAGTGCAGGACTAGTTGAAAGGCAGGGCAATGGAACTCACTGATTCGCTTTTACAGGGAGATAGCACAGGCACAATAGCACAAATGGCTTCCTTCCATGCTGCAACCAATCTATGATTTCATTCTGTTCTTTATGGTCCAGTTACCATGGTCTCCAGGAACTGGTTGATGGTTTTTGAGGGGAATTTCATTGAATTCGTCTCCCCTGAATTGGTCTAAATTGTCATCTGTCTGTGGTTTGTTCTGCCATTCTCAGGGATAAGGTGACCACTTGGAGTTGGGAGACAGGAATGCTAACGTTGTAACATGACAGGTCCAACCAGGCTTATTTGGGTCACTTGTTTGTCTTTTCTGGTCCCTTTCTTCTGTTTGAAGGAAGATCCCTCTGTAATACTATACATAGTTTAGACATTCCACCTGCTAACTTGAGGTCCTCCAAAGCTAATAAAACTATTTGCTGCATGTTATCTTTGACAATTATTGTTTTCCTTAATATTTGCTTCCCTGTGCAAAGTAACACTTCTTGCATTGTTTTGCAAATGAACAAAACAATAGGACATCTCCTGCAGGGGAATGCTCATTCACCCCATCGATGGGCTGAGGAACCATACCACAATGCATAAAGTTTGGACAAAATTGGACTCCAGGGGAACCATGGTCACAGCATCATAGGAGGAGGACTGACTATCTAGCTGGCCATTCACATTCACTCTATGAAGGTTCCAAACTCCTTGGCTTCTCATCAGATTTAAGTTGCATGGCTAATTGCAGAAAAAGGTCATTGTAAAAGCTTGTGTGAGAGCCTCAAACCATTCAGCTTTACTCACCAGCCTAAGCTCCATGGGCCACAAGTCTTGTATTTCTTAATTTTTTAATAGGAAGCATAGAATTCACTACTGCTGGACACAGAACGGTCTGAAGTTGTACAGAGTAAGTGGGTATGAAAATGGGTTATTCTGGGCACATATTCAAGGCTGCGTTAGACAGATGTTGGATCCACAAGGGAGTTGAGGAATTTCAGGTCTAGGCAGGAAAGTAGACTACGATCAGAACAGTCACGATCACATTGAATGGCAGGATATCCAAGAGGGGCAATGATCTTTTGTTCTTATGTGAGCCTACTGTGCATCAAAGAGATGTGGATAATAGCCATTAAGGCTATTATCAGTATCACAAGGGCCAGAAGCACTTTGATCAGATCTCTTAGTGTACACCAGAAACTCAAGAACTGGCACATCTACATCTCAACTTGCCATCTTCATTTATCTACCCACTAGGCCATTAGGATTCACCAACCCAACTGATTCCACAGTTTGCCTGGATTTGTATATTCTGTGTTCAGATCACTCCTTGTTTGACAATGACCATGTTGATCTCATTGTTAAATTTGCCTTTTTTTAAACAAATTGAAATCTCTGCATCAATCAAAAGTAATATAGAAGGAATGTTCCATGTGTATACTGTGTTATAAGTGAATGTCTTTCCCATATGATTGTGTTAATCAAATCCAAGGCAGTTGCTGAATTAGAAACATAAAAATGTACTGCTTTTCTTTATAGTGGAAGTTCATTGACTTGTTCAGTCTTGCAGCTCTCATCCAACAACCCCAGTATCTCAGCTGTGCCCACTTTATTGTGGATATTTTCTAATCAACCAGTTCAGAGGTGTTATTACATGTTTCTGCAGCATATTCTGATGAAGAATAAATGGATTTGAAACATGAACTCTGCTTCTCCCCACAGATGCTGCCAGACCTGCTGAGTTTCGCAAGTAATTTCTGCTTTTGTTTGTGGCACAGGTTGATCTTGAACCTAGGTCTCCTGGCTCAGATATAGGGACACTACCACTGTACCACAAGAGCGCTATTTCTCTATTTATTGTGGTCAAAGACAATTAATATCCAGAACATGTTTCACGTAATCTTAATAATGATAACTGACAAGAAATTAACACTCTCAAATTTGGATCTTGCATATAGATGCTCAGTATGGGGTGACAATGTTATACTAGTAATGTCACTGGGTCAATAAGCCAGAGGCCACATTAATGCGCTGGGAACATAGGTTCTAATCATCTAGTAGAAAATATATAAGGTTCTGTAGAACAGTGGTAATATCTCTACCTTTGAGCCAGTCTACCTGATTTCAAATCCCACATGCCACCAGACGTGTGTCACAACATTACTGAACAGGTTGATTCAAAACTACCTACAGATGTTTGTTACCTACACCACTTGTTGAACATCTGGCACATCGGTGGCCCCCTAATTCCTGCTTTCCAAGAGCCCGTGACTGGAAACTGCTGAAACCTTAGAAGGGTAAGCGGCGTCGGTGGAGAGAGGAAGATGGGGTTAACTATTCAGATTGATGACCCTTGGGCAGAACAAGAATTATGTCTCAAATGAACAAAGTCTGGGAAAGGTGAGGGAAAGAAAAAAAGAGATCTGTGATTATGTAGAGAACAGGATATGACCAGCTGGCTGGATGATGAAGAAAACAGCAAAATCTTCCTGTGTTACATTGTGGTGCTGTTTTAAACCCTACTGTTATTTGCAAAGAAAAATAAAATGCTTGCCCTTTCTAAAGCTGCTTTAAGACTGCCTGACGTCCCAGTCAATTAAGTACTTTTGAAGAAAAATCAAAAGAACTGTGGATGCTGTAAATCAGACAACAAAATAGAAATTGCTGGAAAAGCTGAGCAAGGAACGGTCACTGGACCCTAAACACTAACTCTGATTTTTCTTCACAGATGCTGCCATTCCTGCTGAGCTTTTCCAGTAATTTCTATATAAGTTTTCTTGAAGTATGTTCAGTGATGTAATAATGTCATACAGGCCAGAACTAATTTGCACAAAGCACATTCCCGCTAACAAAATGATAATTTATTTTACAGTGCTGATTGAGGAGCAAACATTGGCCATCACAGTGGGGAAAATTTCCCGTTTTTCTTCAAATTAGTGCCATGGGAGCTTTTATGTAAATGTGAGGGGGTAGCTGGGACTACACTTGAAAACTTTGTCCAAAAGAAGGCTTCCCCATTGAAGCCGCACTCCCTCAATACTGCAATGGAATATTGGCCTATAATTGACACTGAGGTTTCAGGAGTGGGCCTGGAGCTCAAGACTATCTGACCCAAATGCCTCCAACTAGGCTACAGTTAGATATATATTCATACCACAGCAGGCCTAAGCTAAAATAATGTGCAGAGCGATAAAACAAACCACTTCAGACATTAGCAGGCGCAAGAGATTGGACCAACCAAATAACGTAGAACTCTGTCCTTTTCCTTTTACAAAACAGGAAGAAAGGAAAACGTCATATTATCTGAAGTCCTAAATCAAGCCAGGCTGCCAATCATTGATCACCAAACTTGCAAAATGAAGAAATTCTGGGGGGACCGAGTGAGGAACACAATGATCTGTGCTGGTTACAAAGATACAGAGGGACCATCTGCTGCTTGCCAGGTAACTGGAAGGAAATAGATTAGATTTTAGCATTGCCCCCCTCGCCATTTCACATCTCTAAGTGTCAGGGACAACTTGAGTATTAGTTCGTCAGTTTCACCTGAGGGGTAACATTCCAGATTCCATCTGATAGCTGAGTCAGTTTCTCAACAGAAACTGCTGAGTCCGGGAAGCATCTCTTGAATCTACTGATTGATTAGCTTTGGAGGAGACATAGAACACATGGGTAGATTCAGCACATCATGGGATTGAAAAATCATTTAATATGTTTATTCACAATGGTGTGTCGTTGGATATCATTGTTACATGGTGCATCACTGGGACTCACTGTTTAACGGTGTGTCACTGGGACTCACTGTCTAGGTGTGTCACTGGGACTCACTGTCTAGGTGTGTCACTGGGACTCACTGTTTAACGGTGTGTCACTGGGACTCA